AAGAAAACAAAACAAAAAAGATTACAAAAAAGATAACAAAACTTAAAACAACGAAAAGAGAATGAATTAATAGAAACTATATAATGAAAAAAGGATTACAATTGAAAAATCCTAACGACATATCACTGTTTAAACATTAAACTCATACAATAGGCACGAATTTTTAAATCAATATTTAGTAATATTTTTTCAGATTTTAATGTTTTTTGAAATATATTTTTTATAAATTTTTTATCATTTTTATGATTTTTTGTTTTTTTAAATAAATTTAGTGCAAAATTAAGCAATTTTTCAAAAATTTGGTGTTCAATGGGAGAAATGGTGAAATAATAGACAAAATGCTTTATAAATTAGATTAGTTCTGAAATAATTAAACAATAATTTGAAAAATTTTGCCTAAATTTAGTGATTGTTTTACGGATGATATTATTGAAACAAATCAAAAGACTAGGGATTAAGCGATTAATTAAAGCATATTTTTAGAAGAGTTGCACTTTTAAGCGATTAATCAGAAATCAATAGTCGCTTTAAATTGCTATTTTAAAACCTAAATCACAATCATTTTATGCAATTTTAAGCTATTATTGGGTTTACTAAGACATTTTAAATAATTTGTTAGATTATTATTACGTTTTGGGAACAGTATTAGTAATGACTGAGCAATCATTTAAAAATATATTTTTCAAATATAGTAATTTTGGTGAAATAAATTTGGAGTCAATTTTAAACCAATTAGAAATTGCTATCTAATCCTAATAATACCTATCATTTTAAATTAATTTTCATAATTATAAGAGATGTTTAACGCAAAGGACAACAACACGTCGTTCTCATCGTGCGTTTTTGCAAATATTTTTCACATTTTTGCAACACATTTACCGTCAATTCAGTTGATAACACATTTGGTTATGAGAAATGAATTTTTATGACTAGTTTTGGAAAATAAGTCTTTGAAATAAATTCAAATTTAATGTAAAATTATATATATAGATATATATATATAAATGATTTTTTAAAAACAAAAGCTCTGTTTAATGAGAAATGCAGACAAATGTGTTGTCAATGAATTGCGGTAAAAAAGTTGTGTTTAGTGTTTGGAAGTTTTGATTGATTTATACATTTTCGACACAAGAGTTCGAGTACTCTATTCGGAGGAGAGATAGACCTCTCATTTGGAGATTGTATTCAAAATATGTATTCGTTTAGTTATCAAATTAAATACTAATCAATAGTTAAACGTGTTTCAAATAAATTAGAAAAACTTTTTGGAAAATCAATATTTTTGTAATAAATGTGTCCATTATATGAATGGATTTTTGAATAAGTCTATCGGAAGTTTGAAAACATAGAAAATTTTAGTCCAGAAAACTTAGAAAAAGTGATTCAATTTGAAACATGTTTTGTGAGAATATCTAAAAATAGAAAATCTGAAGGAAAGCAAACTTTTCAGAAACCCATGAGTTCTGATTCACCGAAACTTCTGCCGAGACTGAGAGTCGTGCGAATGACTCGATTTTGAGCAATCTTTGGGTCGATGGGAAGGGGACCAGACATGAGACACTTCTCGGAAAACGAGTTCATCATAATTGGCGGCGAAAGGCTTCCCGACTCTGAGGTGGGAGTGATGGGGATATTGAAGGAAATGGCCATTTGGTCGCTCTCTTCGTTGGCGTTCTCGTGATGTGAAGAGAGTTTGGGTTTGAATGAGAAGTCAGTGCTATATGTCTGGTGTCGGAGAACCAAACGCTTCATAGCGTTAGCGCTCTCCGCAAACGCCGCCAAATCCTTAGCGCTATTATTGCGACGAATAACTCGTGGGGTCTCGAGCAGAGTGCGGGGCCCCCCACACGCCACCCACCGGTGGTTCAGCACCATCTCTGCGGTGTAGCGCTGACTCGCGTCCTTCACCAACAAATGGCGGATCAAGTCTTTGGCGTCTTCGCTAATGTAGGCCCAGTCGCGCTCAGGGAAGTCATACGTGCCGTCTTGGATACAAGTGAACAGTTGGTCTATGGGTGGGAACAACACTTGTAATGACAATCGTAGTGGTGAGCAATGGTTGGTACAAACCTTGACACGACTGGCAGAACTCTCCCCTCTCCCACCCGCAGTCACTGCCACAACAGCCATAGAATGGCGGATAACCGCACAAAAGGATGTATGTTATGACTCCCAATGACCACAAATCACATCTGAATTAAATGACAATCAAATGATAAGTAAAAACAACTTCAATGCGAAACAAACAAAAGTCATTACCGTTTATCATAAGGAGAGGCCTCACCGATGAAGGCCTCCACAACTTCTGGTGCCATGAATTCAGCGGATCCGACCTTTTGTGACAAATGAATGCATTTGAGTATAGGAGAGGACAGGTATGTGATGAGTGACATACCGGTGTTAAGAGTTCTGGAGTGCTGATTGGGGACGAATCGCTGAGCACAACACCTGACCCGAGATCGAAATCACATATTTTGATGGGACAGACCTGGTTCTCACTAAAGCACAGTATGTTTTCAGGTTTGAGGTCCCGGTGCGCAATCCCCTTGTGGTGGAGGAACTTAAGAGCATTGGCGATATCACGTACTATAAGGCTGGCCTCGTTCTCAGTGAAGTGCACCCGCTTTTGAATGTGCGCCAGAAGTGGTCCGCCATTCACTTTCTCGAAGATCAGGTAGAATTTGGTGGTCTCCTCGAAGAACTCGACCAATTGGATGATATTGCGGTGGGACTGGCAGTGATAGAAGATCTCGATCTCCCTGAACACCCGCGACCGGTGGTGGCCGGGGATCTTATCGATCACTTTCACGGCATACTTCTTGCCGGTGTAGTTGTTTTTGCACTCCTGTACGGAGGCGTAGGCGCCCTCTCCCAGGAATTCGCCGGTCAGGGAGTAGAGGTCGGAGAAGGTGTTGGCGGTTAGACTCGAACTACTGGTGCGCTTCTTCTTTCGTCTTCGTTGTTGTTGCTGTCGTTTCTGAGATCCAGTGTCTGGTATTGGAATGGGAGCCGAAGTGAGCGACACTTCGCTCCTACTTTGGGACACATTATAACAGCCATCATCTGTACAGAGGTGAACAGAAGGCATTACAACAACATCTTAACCATTACTACTGTAGGTATAGTCTGTGGCAGTCCTACAACGGCTCGACTCTCAGCTCATACTAACACATCACTAATGATTGCATTTAATAAATGCACGAAAGGTTTAAAGCGAATGAATGAATGAATGAAATTATAATGACTGCAAAAACGACTGCAAAGAAATGGTAAACAATTTCAAGGATAATTACAAAACTACATGACTGTATGTGTGTTAGCACTGTATCGGGAAAGTGAGGCACCAGTGAGCACAGGGATGGGGATAGGGATAGAGTGACTGACAATGCAAGGTATGAGCTATAAATATAGGGGTAAAATATCAAATATTTCCTCAACACTGATAACTAATCGATTGCTTATATTATATAATACTGTTGTAGTCTATTATGCAAACACTTCTGTCATCGCATAGTTTCGTGTGTTTCGAGAATTTTTATATCATTTCAAATGTTTTTTGTTAATTAGCAAAACGAGTGTTACTATAGACTGAGTCATTAAATGAATGACAATTGGATGAATGGATCCATTTTTAGACATTCAATATTGATTGAAAGCAAATACATATATAATAATAGTGTAAATGTAATTAAAGTGACGAAATTTGAAAGTCATGGTCAAGGACTCACTTGTTTCCAACCATAGCTATACTAACTGTTATTGTCTGTTATATTATTACTACAGAAACAGCTTTTCACAGCCAATCCATTGAGTGAAGCAAAAAATCATTATATTTTCAGTTTTGGTTTCCATTCAGACCTTGAACTTGAATTTATCTGCGAGTCTGTCATATAATCAGTTACGTAACAACTCATCACAAGAGACCCACTCCTCGTCTACTGGATTGACTACAAGAGCTATTTCTATAGCCAAACGCCAACCCACCGACAAATACCCCTAACCAACAAAAATCGATAAAATAGTTGTTTTCGTGTATTTAATGCTAACGTAACGCTTGTTATGAAATGTTCGCCTATTTATCCTACAATTTGTGTTATGTATGAAAATATAGACCAAAATATAGCGTCGGATCGATATTCTGGTGTTTTGTTAGCATCTAAATACAGAACTTTCTATTCACGCATATAAATAGATCTTAAAGTAAATAAAATCTCAAAATTTCGCTCAAAAACATGAAACAGATTTGTAGACACTTTTATAAGATTGGCGATTATCTTCTGGTCGTGTATTGTCTTAACCTTCGGATCCAATCAATTCATTGTTTAGATAAGAGCCGTTCAAATCATTTTCAAGTATTTGTTACTTTATTTTATTAAAAAATCCTTCACTAACAACAGTATAGTTTTAAAGTTATACTTGAATTTGTTTTTCAACAAATCTTATTGAAATCCAAACTCTAAACAGGCATTCATTTTATTAACACTAAAATGTTAATTATAGATAATTGAATTGATATGCCATTAGGATAAGTATGTCATATATTGAGACAAACCATAGTCAATATACCTTATAATCATAATAAACTTAATAAAAAATGTTTACAACACAAACACTACACTGTACTGTACTGTACTGCACAATCGCAAGTATTATATAATTCGTAGTTAAATATATTCATTCATTGGTACTAATAAATAAAACATTATTATAATACTAGAAATGATTGGAAAATACCATAAAAAAGATATCATTTCATAAAAAGTTGTGAAATAAAGAAATCTATACCAAATTATCAAACAGCTTTTTTTATTATATAATAACTTTTAGATAGAGTTATCTTATATAAGGTTTTAGGCATTTCTTAGATCTTAGTTTGAAAGGCAGGGACAGGCAGAGCGGCTCAACCAGACATTACTTTCCATTCACATGCACTTCATTTAGATGTGTTTATGTGTAGTTTAATTGGTCTAACGTTTAGATAGTTTAATGGTCCTATTTTGACCAGTTTTGGTATACAAATCATTGACTAATAACTCAACAGTAGACAAATAGTTGCACTGTTTTGTGCCTTACATTATTGATAAGACTGCCATTTGATTGAATAACAAGTTATGAAATAAGAGTTTGTTTCCAAACACACGATTAGATTAAGGCTTAAAATATACTTTAAAATCATACGATTCGGGTGTAAGCATGTGATCACATATCCATATATGAGAGATGACCTTATTTTGGATATATTGCTGTTTATTATGCAATGGATAAGTGTATTCATCAATATGTGGTACACTGTCTAGTCATTATAGTCAGCAATTTTGTCAATACAGTGTCCCTAATGATAAGTATATCATCTAATCTATGATATGGTCAATGGTCTACACCTTATCAACCAATTGTATAAACACATCAATATTATAGTTAGTCTCACATAATACCTATAATTATATACATTTACATGAAATAGTCATTTAATGAATGGACGCACCAGTGGTGTACCAATTGGTCATTAATAGACCAATGGATTAGACAACAAAACCTAAGCCTAAGCCTAAGATGAATGAGACAACTGTTGACATGACTGGCAGACACTCACCCATAACCGTAAGAGTAGGATGTGATACAAACTAAGACATGACATGACATTTCGCGGTCACTTACCATCAGTGGAGTTGTCGGACAAATGCATCGACGAAATGGTTCTCATGGCGTGCGATGGTGTGGTCACTGGTGTGGATGTGGTGACAGTCGTGACAACAGGTCTTATGATAACAATGACTGTGAGGTCGAGATTGGCTCAAAGCAACGGTCAACTCGTTTACCGCCGATGTCTCCACTTTTAGATCACTATCAATACTCGGACTCTTCATACAAGCGATACGACCACTCATTCACTCTTGGGTTCACTGTGGGAGTGATGGACCAACTGATGGTGTCTTCAGTCTTGATGTTAACGGTTGTGTTGTTGTCTCAGTCAGTGTTCAGCCATTTCTGCTCTCAATCCCTGAACACAGAGCCAGTCATACAGTCATACAGTCATATGAAACACTAACAGCCATTTAAAGCACTATCCAATCAAATGCAGACAAACATCATCTCATTGTGACGTCAAGTACTGCTCATGTGATGCCCATTGCAGTGAACAATAGGCACACCCATGCAAACCAAACACAATCACTACGCCCGCCAATGCCCGCCCGCGCCCAATATGATCCGTGTCTTCATAATTATAATTATTTTTAAACGTGATTCAGCTTACAAAATGGAGGTATATAAAATCGCCCTGTACCCTCCATCCCTCGCCCATCTGGCGCTTAAGATAATAAATCGTCCGAACCCCTAGAAATTAAATTGAGTTTTTCATGTTATAAAGTCATAAGAAATTTGTTTTTGTATAGAAAATCACAAAAAAAGTGATAATTGTATAAAAAGAGATATTTGTGACAATGACATTGTTTTCACTCCTATGTTAAACATATGGAAAATTGTCTCAAATGGCCACAATATTCCATGTTAAGCCTATGGAAAATTGACCCGAATAATATAATATTTTAAGCCTTATGTCTATGGAAGGTATATTAATATCTCTTAGCTAACAATGTCAGCTTCGCCCAGGGCATATGCATTTCACGTTAAGCTTGGCATCAGGTGTGGTAATTCTCCAGTCTTGTGTTAAGGCCTTGCTTCAAAATTTAAATATTATTTTCGTTAGCGAGTGAAACATATTTAAAATAATTGTATGGAATTAGAAACATAAATGCAATCAAATTAATGTTTTTCTAAATTAATTAATTGCTGTCCAATCCTATAATCAAGAGTTTTTCACTTTTTGCCAGTTTATGGCACACACTGTATGCCTGTATTGCATGTCCTTCGAGTACTTCGAGTACTTCGAGAAGTTTCTACAACTTATCGAATAGTGTTCAGTCATATGCTATACCAGTTTAAGCTGACCAAGGCACTATTTGTAACACACAACAATTTTCATGATCTAACTTATTATAGATTATAACTAAGATATACTAATACCTTAAGATTGCCTTAAAAATGATAGCAAGAACCATTTATTATGTATAGATTATAGCCTCAGAGACAGGAAATTGTATTACAATGATCTCACATTTCATGTAAATTGCATCAAGGTATATTTGAATTTTGATAGCACTACATTGACGACTATAATAATTGTGGGACATATCATTTAATGTACAGTATTATATGTACAGTAGAAGTAGAAGTTATTAAAATGTGCCTTGAACAGTCTAACAGTGCAATGAATACAGTGTTGTATTGGAAATAAGGCCATTCATATGCATTACTGAATGTTGTTTCCGCGTTCACTGTATAGTGACTATACTATAGTCAGTAGTAATTAGCATAACTATAACTAAAAGTATAATACAAAGCACTCGTGAGTCATATCTATTGTCATACAATTCATATCTCAAGTATACAGACATACATCTGCAACAGTTGCAGTCAATATCGTATGAGTTATTAATAAAGCCATAAGTTATTGGTGTAGGCCTACAATCATATGTTCATATCTATTATTATGATCGCTTATAAACAAGTGTGTTGTCTATTACCGGGATCATTGCTTAATATTTCTATTTTCTATCTTGATAAATTGTGAATATTTATTAAGCATCAGAATCATTAATTATAATTTTCTATATTTAATCATAAATTGCAAAGCAATGACTAAGCTTGTATGAATTAGAAGCAGATTATATAAGTATATTAATAATAGACAATTATAAATTGTTCCTGTACAGTACAATACATGTATTTGTATTTTCCTGATTCATAAATGCATGACTGAGTGCACTATATGCCAGAATTTGCGGTTATTTTCCATACATTAATACATTAGATGTAAACATTTATCTGGAAATCGAGGCCCAGATATGTTTGTCTGGACTCACACTCACGGCTTGTATTGAAAGCTAAGCATTTCATTGAGACTTTGAAAGTCAGCACAAATGCCTTATATTCCCAGAAAAGTCAGTTCAATGAATCAGTTGAGACCCCTTTGGCCACATCTGATTACAAATGAAATGAGTTTATAATTTGTTTTATTATCGTTTGAAACGATTTTTATTTGTGACTCAATTGATTACAATAAACAAAAATAAGGCATAAATTGAATGAAACAAAAGCAATGTTGAGTTCAACCCAAACCTATGCATATGATTGCCTTATTTCCCAAACTATTGCAGTCAACGCTTGTTTTGAATGCAACTCAAAAACTATTTATAAAATATGCAAACTATTTATAAGTGTGTTTAAAGCTGTGATGACACTCACGTCAACCAAAACACTTCACTTAATTGTATTATCAATAAATAACACCATTTTCTATACTCTATTGTCATTTCAAATATATATATAACTCAACCCATATATTGTCCAAATTGAAATGAACACTTTCATACAATTTTCATCCAGGGCTAATTGCAATCAAAAAATATATAATCTAGTTTTCATTCAAGTAACAAACAGTTTAACTTCAACATAATTTATCCAAGCTATTCAGTTTTTAAAATTTTAAATATTTTAAATATTATAAATTAATATAATAATATTAAAAGTCAAACTTGGTCATTGAATTCATTATAATATGAAATTAATTTTATTGTTTCCAACATTACTTTATATAATTTGCTAAAATATGTTATCTGTATTATACAGTGTATAGAATATTATGTTTATTTAAGCAAAAAACAATATTATCTGAAATATAATCACAAATTTGTATTTATTTAATATAAACGATAACAAACAGTTTGATTGGTTTCCTATTTCTCTTAATTAGTATATCTATACATTAACGATAAAATAATTTTAAAAACAATTTTATTTTTATTAATCTTTTAAAATATAAAGATTAAAATTACTGACTTGCGAGTCAATAACCGTATAACAGTTTATAGCAGTTATTATTAATAACGACATTTCTTTAGAAAAATGGCATAATATATCAAATTACCCTGTACACCACCAATATTCACATATATCCAATTTTAAATCTATGTGGATTTAAATGATCATATATCATGTAGAATAAAATATAATAATAAAATAAATTGCATATAAAATTCAATAAATGCGAAATTAGAGTCGGGGTTAAAGTCATTGAATTGGCTGTCAAGCCTTGTTTTTATATCAAAAGTTAATGACAATTATTATAACTAATAAAAGTATAAATATAAACAATTTACTATTAATTATATAATTTTCCACTGAAATGCTCTGAAATTGTGCTCTAAATGCAAAAATACAGCAAAAATGAAACGATAGCTAAATATTGCTTGTTTTAACTAAAAACAAATTATAGTTATTTGCTTACAGTATAATTATTTTCTAAAATTGAGATTTTTTAATGCAAATTATTCTCAAAAAATTCGTAATAAAAAATGTACGGTAACAAAAACATATTTTGTTACAATGAAATCAAATTGAAATTGAGAAATGAAAATATCATGTATTTTTAGAGTCAAACCGAATAACAAGTTTAATCGATAAATATGTGATAACAACATAGAAACTAATGAATAACTGTAGTTCAGTACAAACTAATTGTAATAATAGGTTGACATTGAGTTGAAT